CCCGCCGCCCATTGGCCCTCCCGGGTCCTCCCAGGAAGTTTGAAAAAAAAAAAAGTTTTATGGGCGGATGGAAGGGGCCGGGGCAGCGCCGGGGAAGGGAAGGGCCGGAGGAGCGGCGGCGGGCGGCCGAGAGGGGCGGCGGCGGCGGCGGGATTCCCGCGCTGCTGAGCCCGGTCCGAGAGCCCTTTCCACCTTCCTGCCTCCTGCTCCCACCGCCCCGGGGCGCCGCCATGACGGTGAGTGCCCCCCCCCGGGGCAGCCCCTCTGCGCCCCAGGCCCGGAGGAGAGCGACGGCCCGAGCCAGAGCCGAGCCGCTCCCCTCCTGGGCACCCCTTCACTTCCCGGCGGCGAGAGGAGGTCTCGGCCGGAAGACAGGGCGACCATCCTGCCTCAACTTCCCCCAGCCTCCTCCTCACCTTTCCGGGCCGGGAGCCAGAGCGACCCCGAGGAAATGAGAACTCCCTGTCCTGGGCAGCCCCTTCCCCCCCGCCCCTCCGCAACTTCTGTGGGACCAGTCACGGACGATTTCGGATGGCCCTTTCCCACCTCTCCTCCAGCCCCCTTGGTGAAGACCTGACCTGATTCCCAAACTGCTGGACCCGTAGGGACTCCCAGGGCTCCGGGCAGTGGGAGGAACGGGGATGGGCCTGGTCTGGGGTGTCGCCTGGGGCTGGAGAGGCGCTCCCCGGCTCGAATGGGTCGCCCAGAGCCAGTCCTGGGAGGGCTGCCTACCCGCGTGGGCGCTAGCCGGAGGTTGTGTGGGTGAGAAGGGGCCGTCCCGTCGCACCCTGTCCGGGAGCCCGTCCTGGGATTTCTGAAGCGGAGCGATGCCGTGTTCTGTCGGGCTTCCCGCTTCGCAGCGGCGCTGAGGCCTTGGGTGGGCAAGCCCACGAGTGAGGTGGGGGACACGATGGCAGAGATTTGTCTTTCTCTTGGGAATGAACACTGCCCAAGTCACATCAATACCTGTGCCTTAATGATCATATTGGGCTCCACAGCCGAGTTCACCATTATTCCCATTTCACAGTTGGATAAACTGAGGCCTGGGGAAGGGGTGGTGGTGAGTTGCCCTAGGTTACCCTGAGCGTAAAGGAAGGAGTAGCCTCTTTCCAGGTCAGTCTGGCCCCTTGACCATGATGTTCTGGAAGGGAGGGGCGGGGCTGCTTTTGGTTTCTGGCTGGCGCCTTAGGGAGGCTCTGACAGCCTAGGGGGGGTGGGGTGATGGAGTTGAGCAGGGTGTGTCTGCGCATGCGCACATCCGTGGAGACCCTGACAAGAAGTGGGCTGGGCTGCTGGGGGTTGGCCCGAAGGGTCCCTGCCTCTGTGAGTGTGATGACCTGGCCGCTGCTTGGACTTCCTCGGCCTCCGCACATCCTGCCACCTCCCTGCTGGCTCTTCCTGTCGTCAGCAGCCTCCCTTTGGTCAGTGAGCGGAGAGGGATGTGAGGGGAGGAGCTGAGTCAGTGTCCTGGCTACCCACCCCATGCTCCCCGGCCCCCAGGCCCCGGGGAGGGTGGTTGCATTGCCTACTGGGTGCCTGCCAGATCCTGAACTGGGCCCTTTCACATTACCAGAGTTGATCCTTTAAGGTTGATTATAACTTCCCATCTAACAGATGAGAACACTGAGGTGTAGAGAGGGGAAGTAACATGCCCCAGGTGACATAGCTGGGCCCTGGCTGAGCCAGTATTTGTAGCAAGATCAGCCCCAGCTTTCTCTCTGGGGCTAGATAAGAAATGTACACTGTTGCCTCTCTTGAGGAAGCGCATGGTGAACAAGGGTAAGGCTGCTCCAAGCAGCCTGTGGGGGCATTTGGAGGAGGGACAGCATATCCCTGTGGTGGCTGGGGGCTTCCAAAGGAAGACACCCTCCTCTTATTGGAGGACTTGGTCAGGTGGAAATGGACTAGTGGGAAGGAACAGTGTAGATACACACACCCTGGTCATGTTTGGGGAAGGGTGAGAAGATAGAAAGAGGGCCTGGAAAGGAGGGCCTCGAAGGTCAGGAGGAGCAGTTTGGACTTTGGTCGGGGGCACTGGGGAGCCAAGAAAGGTTTTGGAGCAGAGAGGAGGCTCATGATCACCACTGACAGTGTTTGCTGGGTTCATTGTGGCTGCCTTCATGCCTGAGCCTGCCCCAGCCTGGTGTCCCTCCTGTGTCTTCTTCACACCCTTTTCCTCTCTCCTGACCCCAGCCCTGAGCTCATATCTGGAGGGAACAAGTGGTAAAGCTGCTGTGAATGGGTAAATGTTTAAAGGCTTCGGGAAGCTGGGCCTGGAGTCCAGATCTGCTCTACCTCCTTTAGCCTTAGCCCGGTGTAGCCCTGCCCTTGGAGCCTCCTGGCCTAGCCACTGCCTGGCATCAAATTATATACCTGTCCACTTGTTTACTGTCTGTCTGTTTCCTGAGTTCCACCAGGGCAGGGGCCACATCTCCCCTTCGCAGCTGATTTCCTGGCCTAAAACAGTGCCTGGTGCTTTAAAAAAAAAAAAAAATGTTTTTCAACAAACATTCCCTTAGCCCCTTGGTCCTGGAGGGTGAACAGCACATGTCCCTAACAGTGAGTTGCTTTTACTCTAGCCTGTGAGGGATAAGTGAATGGCTTCAAGATCATCACAAATGCCCCAGAGGCTGTGGGAAGGTGGCTGGCTGGGGTGTGGTGTGTACTGGGAAAGGGGCCTCGGAGGTGGCAATTAAGCTGGGTCTTTTTTTTTTTTTTAAGATTTTTATTTATTTATTCATGAGAGAGAGAGAGGCAGAGGCAGAGGGAGAAGCAGGCTCCCCGCAGAGTGGGGAGCCCGATGCGGGACTCGATCCCAGGACCCTGGGATCACGACCCGAGCCGAAGGCAGACGCTTAACCGACTGAGCCACCCAGGCATCCCTAAGCTGGGTCTTAAGGCATGAGTTAGGGTTTGCCTGGTTCCCGGTGGAGGAGGAAGCCTAGTATTTAAGCAGAGGACATGGGCTGGTGTGGAGGGCCTGGAGTCCTGATGTGTTGAGGATCAGAGAGCATATGTGGTGATGATATAAAAATGGGGTTCCCTATGCAAGGGGGAGGCCAGGCTGGAAGGCTGAGCTGAGGCTTTTGTGCCGTCAGGCAGCTGGGCCTTGTTTTGAAGCCCCCTGGAGCCATCCCTGGAGGTTTGAAGCAGACTTGTGACATTAGGCCTTTTTAGGGGGTCCACCTGCCAAGCATGTGCTTAGAGGGGGCTGTGTCAGTGGTCTAGGCAGGTGGGAGGCAGTGCTGACCTGTGGCCGTGGCCGTGACCAAAAGGAGGAGAGAGCTGGTCAGTACTCCTGGAGGGACAAAGGGCAGGTGAGCTTCCTCAGGTGGAGGAAGGGTGGCTGGGCCCTAGAGGCCATGTGGGAAGGTACAGCATGAGAGGTTTAAGCTAGCAGACCTTTTGACCCTGAACAGGGGTTCCCAGGTTACTGCAGGACCTTCCCTGTCAGCGGATTTAAAATCTCACATTGGCAGCCTCCTCCCCCTAAGGTCGGTGTGCCATCTAGCACCCGACATGGCGTGCAGCATGTTTGTACCAGCTTCCAGAGGGTCACTGAGCTTCTCCATGTATAGCTCGTTCAGCCCTCTCACAAAGCTTGGGGGAGGGCAGAACCCATCCCCCCATCATTTGCCACATTAGGCAGCCAGGGCTCAGGGAGGGGATGTGATGTCCTCCCCCGCCGCACTACCTCCACCCCACCCTCTGCTTTCCAGGCAGCCCTTGGGGTCCCAGCCTTTCATTCTAGTTGGGGAGCCCTTGCTCACCCCTGGAAGCCTATAGCTGATCTCCCAGCCCTGGCCCAGTTTGGTGGGCTGGGTTGTCCACTCGTACCTTCCCAGGAGCTTTCCCCCGGACCAGCACAGCAATGCCAGCTCTGTGGGCCATCCTGGATAGCCTGGCTTCTCAGGGCCAGGGGGTGGGGGTGGAGACGGCCCCCAAAGCACAGGAATTTAGACCAGGAAGGTAAAGGAGGGTAATATTTATTCAGCAGGTTTTTGCTGAGGCCTAGTCACATTGTGCCTGGCCTTGGGGTCACTGGAGGTCCCTGTCTGAATGGAGGTCACCCAGGTGATTTGGTGGCCCCAGGCGTAGCTGCCGGTCTTCAGTCTTAGCTTGGGACCACCCTAAGCAGCCTCTGGCACTTGTGGGGAGCATGGTAAGGACGAATGGAGAGAGACAGCGGAAACAGCCCCAGCGTTTCCCAGCTCTGAGCAGAGCCTGGGTCCCCTCCCTCAGACAGGTATGCAGGGAGGGGCCTCCATGCAGGGGTGGGGCTGCTGGCCTGCTGAGATTCAGGGACTCTGGCCCCACAGCCTGGGCCCTGGATGGCTCTGGATGTCCAGGCTGCTGGCCCAAGCCCCTATTAGGCCACTTCCCCCACCTGCGGAAGAGGAGAATGGGGAGGAAGGCAGGTCAGGGGAGGTGGCCAGCTCTGGTGGCTCTGGTCTCCAGCTGCTGTCTCTGTTGCCCACCCCACTGAGCCATGCCGCAGGCTCCTTCCACGCAACCAGACACCTTGGCCTGGTGAGGCTGTGATGTGGCGCTGATAGGTGGGCTCAGGGCCATGGCAACAGGTGGCAGCCTCCTCCCTGCCCGCAGCCCGGCCCGCCCCGCTCTCCTCCCTGCCAGTGGGCAGAAGCTGACACTGTGCTGAGGGGACCAGGACTTAGACGAGCGAGAAGTCTGCCTGTGGGCTGGGAGGGTCTGGGGGCTGGAGCCCACCAGATGGGCATGGCCAGAGAAAATGCCCAGATGAGTAGCTGCTTCATCTAGGCCCGGGGAGGGGGTGGTGGTGTGTGGTACCTAGCTCACAGGCCTCTGTGGAACATGCTGCAGCTGGGAGCCCCCAGACCCCGGGCCCGCGCCCCCCTGAGCAGCACCCGGCAGGTAGGGCTTGCCAGGACTGAGGTCCCATCTTCCTGGCCCTTCCAGAGATCTGGAGGGCACCAGAGGATCTCTGACCCCAGCCTGGGCCTGGCTCCATCTTTCAGGGTCTCCAGGAAGCAAGGAAAGGGCAGGGCTGGTTGGAACACAGGAGGATCAGTGAGTGGGGGATGAGCGGGGGCATTAGGGCGTTTTCCTGGTGGGCCTCCTGGCCTCGTCAGTGAGAGGAACGGGACAGTTTGCTCAGCCCTGCTGGTTCAAGCTGTTCTCAGAGCTCTCTGGGATCTCTATAGGCAGAGCCCTTCTGGCCCTTCTCTCCCACTCTTCGGTGAGGAGGTAGGCTGGTGGGAGGGGAGCCTGGACATCTATGGTGGATGTGCCAGTCACCCTGCCTACCCTCTTGGCTCTCAGAGATTGTTGGGGAAAGGGGCCAAGGCTGCCTCAGTGGCTGGGGAGGCTGCCTTCATTTGGGGCTTACCTGGGCCCTCAGCCCCCCTCTCCTGGCTCCCCAGAAACCCAGTCTCACAGGACTCGGGGGCAGGATGGGTGCAGTCCTGGTTGGCTCTCCACCAGGCCTAAATCACCTGCCTCCTCATCTTCCCACAGCCCGATCTGCTCAACTTCAAGAAGGGATGGATGTCAATCTTGGACGAGCCTGGAGAGGTAGGAGGGCTCTAACAAGAGGGGACGGGTTGGCCTGGGCAGCTTCAGTACCCCAGCAGGTCCCTGGGGGCAGCCCAGCAGGCTGAGCTGCTAACACGGCTTGTCTAGGCTTCTGGAGAGCCTGGCCTCTGAGTGGAGGAGACCCAGGTGGGCCCAGAGTGGGCACCCTGAGTGCGGGCGTTTCTTGTGCCGTCGCAGTGGGCCTTGGGCTGTGGGGGTGGAAAGGCAGAGGCTACAGTCATCTCAGGCTGCTGGAACAGTCTGTAGGCATGTAGGGCAGCAGGAGTAGAGGCCTCCTAGCCCCTCACGCCCTACACCCCATCCCCTCGTGTCACCGAGAGCCCCTCGGCCCTCTTGCCTCTTGATGATGCTGGCTGGGTCTGAGGGTCTGGGGTGGGAGGGCTCAGAGAGATCAGCTGGCCTGAGACATTACAGATTCCCAAAGACTCAGCCATGCAGGAACCTCTCCCGCGCCCCCGAAGTGGGCCTCAGAGCATTGGCTTTGAAGTCTCACCAGCCTGGGGCTCCACAGTTGAGCCACAGCTTCCTCTGGCCTCAGGAACCACATCTATGGAATAGGCATGATGGATCATGACGATTCTTTCCAGGGTGGACAGCAGGGTCGGAGAGGCTGAGCCGTGTAGGGTCCCTGCCAGAGCTCAGCTAATAACCCTTCCCTTTCTCTAATGTGTCCATCCTTAGAACCAGGAGGGACAGTGGCCTCTCTGCCCATTCAGCTGCCAGGCTGGCTGGAGTCTGGGAGCTGGAGCTGGCTTCCTGCCTGCTCAGCCTGGGAGGGGACGGCTCCCCGCTCTGTCCTGCATGCGTCCGTGGCTCAGGTCTGCGTGCAGCCCGCATGCTGGGGAGGGCTCAGAGCCAAAGGGAATCTCATTGTGTTTCCTACCCACATGTTTTATTCCCTCCAGCCCACAGCCTTCCGTTCCTGCTGCCTGCTCGCTGGTCCTCTGGTGGCTGCGCTCCAGGCTCACACAAGGCCTGGAACCCTGCCAGTGACCCTTCCCAGCCTCCCCACCCAGGGTCTCTGGAGGGCAGAGATGATGGGCCCCACCCAGAACTGGCCGCTACTCATCTTCTTTCGCAGGGTTTTGGAATGTCCACACTGGAAGGGCCCTGGGAGTTCAGCCAGCCCAGCCCCTTGGTGCACACAGGCAGGGGACAGGCCCACAGAGCTTCCATCTCTTTGGGCCTAGTAGCCCCTTCGGTAGACCCAGGCCTAGAACTTGGGCTGCCTAAGGCCATGGAACTCCATCTGGCTCCTGTCTCAGCCATCATAGATTAGGCTGCAAGGGCCAAAGAGACCATTTGGCACAGAAGCCCTGCCCTGCTTTGTAGAGGGACAGTTGAGGTCCCGAGTGGCAACCCGGGCCACTCTTAGGACGATCCCCAGTAACCTAGTGCTTGACCCTATGCTAAGTGCCACGAGAAACATACAAGGCAGGGATAGACACTTCTAACCTCCCAAGAAGGCTTAGGGACTTCTTATCAGCCCTACTTGACAAGTCAGAAAAATGAAGCTCAGAGAGGTCGAGATACCCGATCGAAGACACACAGCCAGCAAGGGATAAAATAATTATAACCTAGGTCTCTTGGATGCTAACCTATTTCTTAGGGGAGGCCATGTGGAAAGAAGTCGCAAGTGTCATTCTGCCACATCCTTGAAAACTTGCCATCTTCTTGAGGAAAGAAAACTAAGTATTTAGAATAAAGTGAATAGAGTTTGGTGATGTGGGAGAGACCCAGGAGGGCTGAGGACTGGGTGGCATGTGCTGACCCTGGGAGTGGGTGGACCTCGACTGGCATTCCAGTGAATGTCCAGAAGCCCAGAGGTGGGCTGAGCTTGGCATATTTAATATCAAGCTGTTCTGGCACCCCTGCCCTCCCCTCTGTGGCCTGCCGACCTAACCCCAGCTGGAGCAGAGAGGTGCTGCAGAAAGGGGCCCAAATCATAAATGTGCGGAGAACGTTCTCACAAGCTGAACACATGTGTAACCAGCACCTAGCTCAAGGAGCAATGGGACCAGCGCTCAGACATCACCCCCAGGCCACCTTCCAGTCCACTCTGGGTCCCTTGTCCTTGGCTACTGAGGTGATCCAGAGGGGCCTGGGGGAAAAGACGTGCAAAGTTCTGCTCCCTGACTTGCTAGGCAAATGACGTTACACAGGTCACAACCCCTTCCTGGTCTGTACTGGAGGGGGTTACTAGTAGGAGCCTTGGTGATCCCGATGGAGAGGGTCAAGAGGGCTACGGGACTGTCAACACATGAGAGAAGGGCTCCCAGAAGGAAAGGGAAGGTGTAGGCACTGAGAAGTCAACCCATTTCACAGATGCTGCCCCTGGAGGGGCCGGGCTTCAGATCTGGAGTTTCTGCCTCTGCTCTGTCCCCTGCCCCCACAAGCCACCAGCGGTGTGGAAGAGGGTGCTGGGGCCCTACTGTTGACCTGGCAGCGCCCAGGATGGCTGCAGAATGGTGCACACACCCCCCTTTCGCTCCGCCCTCACCGCAGCCCCCCTCCCCTCGCTCACTGCCACCTCTCCTTCACAGTGGAAGAAGCATTGGTTTGTGCTGACAGATTCAAGCCTTAAGTACTACAGGGACTCCACCGCCGAGGAGGTGAGACCAAGTGGGAACGCTCCCTGTCCCCATCAGGTGCTGGGGGCCCTGGAAGGGGACCGGGGGCGCCCAGCGGGGAAGTGGAAGGTGTGGACCATCGTGGGCTTTCCTGCGGCAGGCCGACGAGCTGGATGGCGAGATCGACCTGCGTTCCTGTACGGACGTCACCGAGTATGCGGTGCAGCGAAACTACGGCTTCCAGATCCATGTGAGCTGCCGTGCAGCTGGGGTGGCATCGGGGCTGGGTGGGGGGGGCGGTGATGGCCTTCGTGACTGGCTCCTGTCACTCATTGACCTGGAGACCCTGTCCTTAGAGCCGTCGACACCTGGCCTATCTGGGGAGGCCCCAGAGATCATTGGTGGGGGAGGGAGGGTGGAATGTTGGGGAGATCTCAGAGCCAGCTGGTGGAGGGGAGCTTTGGCACCCTCCACTCATCCCTAGGCGCAGGACCTTAGGTTCCCTACTTGGGGGGAAAGGGCCACCCTCCCTGGGGTGCACAGTGGTGAGGGAGCGGGCTGGGGGCGGAGCTGGCTGTGTGGCAACCTGCCCGTGGGGTGGACTTGCAGACCAAGGATGCTATCTACACCTTGTCGGCCATGACCTCGGGTATCCGGCGAAACTGGATCGAGGCTCTGAGGAAGACCGTGCGACCCACCTCTGCCCCGGATGTCACCAAGTATGTGCCAAGCTGGACTGGGACCTTGAGGGAGGCACCTACCCCTGCATCCCTGAGTGGGGTTCTGGCACCCAGCTGAGGGCCCTGTGGCTGTACCTCCGGGGCCTCAGTTTCTCCATCAACAAAATGGAGAGAGAGCAAGGAGCATTCTTGGCACTCACCCGAAAATACTTTGAGGACCTGTGGTTTGACTGCCATTCCTTTATAGTCCCCCACATCCTGAAATTGGGGGAGGGATCTTGACTCTTCGGAGAAGATGCCAGTGAGTCAGAGGCCCCCGCTAGTGGCTGATTATCTCCGAGCCGTGGGAGCTGTGTCTGAGCCTGAGTTGGGGAGAGGGTGTGGTTAGGTAGTCTGGATGAGGAGCTCACCCCGCTGGAGGTCGCCGTGCGTGGAGGGGAGGAGGACTGAGTGAGTTGCTGGCAGAACTCCCCACAGTATAAACCCTTGCCGCCCACGGTGGGGGCTGGGAATCGCAGCTGCTGGACAGCAGGAACGGCATGTGGTACTGGGAGGCCTAAGCATGAGCCCCCCTACTTGGCCGTACCTTGGCTGTTCACCCTCAGGCCAGTGCCTTTCTTGTCTGAGTGTCAGATTCCTCATCTGTCATGCCGAGCATGACGTCTGCTTCGTGGGAGGGCTGTGCGTGGAAGCGCTCTGTGGACTCCGGAGCACTCTGCAGCTGGGCTTCCAGTTAGTCTGTAGGCTCAGCCGCTCTAACAAAGAAGCCCCAGACACAGTGACATAAATAAGGGAGAGCTTGCTTTCTCTCTCCAGAACAATCCAGAGGTGTGTGATCCAGACCTGGCGGGGCAGCTCTGCGGCCCACAACTCACACCTTTGTGTCTGGCTCAGTTCTCATGGAGTCCCTGCCAGGACCCAGGCCAGGGCATGCCCAGTCCTTTAAAGGGAACCACCTCTCACACCCTTGGGCGGAGGAATGCAGTCACATGGCCACACAGCTGCAAGGGATGCTGGGGGGGTGTCGTTTTTGGCCGGCCAGCGATGTACCCAGCTATTACTAATGGAGGAAGGGGAGGACCCAGAGGTCACTGGTCACCTCATCTTTCCTATCCCACTGTGAGCCCCTTGAGCCCCGGACCTTGTCTTAAACCACACTGCTGGGAATAACGCTTTGATCACCATTGGCCAAGGGCTCTGTTTGCTTTGCACACTTTTACTCACCTGGTCCTCGCATTCGTCCTGTGAGAGGCATTGTTGGCCCATGTGACAGATGAGGTCCCTGGGGGCCAAAGCGGGAACCCAGCTCTGCTGGTGCCTCTGCTGCTCAGCGTGGGCCCTGGGATGCTTCTCAGGGTCTGCTAATGATGAAGCTCTAGTCCGAACCTCTAGATGGGGGTCTGGCGCCGGGCCCCGGCCCAGGGGTGGCGCTCCAGAAGTGCTTGACTCTTCACTCCCTCCCGCCTGACGAGGCTCTGCTGGCACCCTAGGCTCTCGGACTGCAACAAGGAGAACACGCTGCACGGCTGCAGCACCCAGAAGGGCTCCCTGAAGGCCGGGGAGCAGCGGGGGGGCTCTGAGGTCATCGGTCGGGGCAGCCCGAGGAAGGCGGATGGGCAGCGGCCGTCCCTGGACTACGTGGAGCTCTCCCCGCTGACGCAGGGCTCCCCGCAGCGGGTCCGCGGCCCGGCCCGCACCCTCGACCGCCCGGCCAAGCAGGAGGAGCTCGAGCGGGACCTGGCCCAGCGCTCCGAGGAGCGACGCAGGTGGTTTGAGGCCACGGACAGCCGGCCCCCGGAGACCGCGGCTGGCGAGGGGCCGCGCCGGGGCCTGGGTGCCCCGCTGACGGAGGACCAGCAGAGCCGGCTCAGTGAGGAGATTGAGAAGAAGTGGCAGGAGCTGGAGAAGCTGCCCCTGCGGGAGAACAAGCGGGTGCCTCTCACCGCCCTGCTCAACCAAAGCCGCGGGGAGCGCCGGGGGCCTCCGGGTGACAGCCACGAGGCCCTGGAGAAGGAGGTAGGCATCACCGCTGGCCTCCGGGAGCCCCCTCCCCCCGCCAGCGCCCCTCCTGTGCCTGCAGTCACACTGCGGCGTTCATCTGGCATACCTACAGTGACGGGGAGCTCACCCCTGATTCACTGTCTGGTACCTCAGACTCTTAGGAACTGGAATCTTCTTTCCTGGACCTTGGTGTTTCTTGTTTTGGGGCATTTTTTTTCCTTCTCAGTTTTGTCCTCAGCGACCACAGAGAAGGGAGGAGGAGGGAGAGACCACTTATTCAGCATCTTCTGTGTACCTCATCCTGGCCTTGTTTCCCTGTACTGGCTCATGTAATCCTCTGAGCAGTCTCATGGTCCAGAGGGTAGACCTCGTCGCAGTTGTACTGACGGGAAACTGAGGCTCAGAGACCACCTACTACGTAATGTAATCAGTGTCTGTGACCACAGTGTCCTGCTCCCAAACCTGTTTAGTCTTCCCTGGGACAAAGTTCTCCTGGGTCACTGACCTGGCCATCCAGGAAATAGCTGGAATGTCCCCTTTGCCTGCATTTCCACCACAGGCTGCTTCCCCTGCTCAAACCCAAAGCTCCTCACTGCCTCCCAGCACCCCCTTCCCGGCTTCCAGGTTCCCACTGACCCCCCCCCGCCTCCAAATCCCCTTGTAGGTCCAGTCTCTTCGTGCTCAGCTGGAGGCATGGCGTCTTCAGGGAGAGGCTCCTCAGGGTGCACCCAGGTCCCAGGAGGACAGCCACGTCCCCCCGGGCTACATCTCGCAGGTGAGGCCAAGGGGCTGTTTGGTGGGGGCTGCGGGCAGGCTTCTGGTTGCCGAGGTTTCAGAGAACCGCTGATGTTCTGGGAGTGTCGCAGAACCCGTGTGAGGCATTTGATCTGCATCGTCTCATCGAATGTGCCCCGCAGGTAGCCATGGTCACTGTGCCCATTTTACAGACAAGCCACTGAGCTCTGAGAGGTTATGGGACTTGCCCAAGGTCAACTGAGCTGCAGATGTCAGAGGTGGGATTTGAGTTCGGTTCCGGCTGACTGCAGAGCCTGTGTGTGAGCCCCCCTGGGACACTCTGTACTTGGACCCCTTCTCCCACACCACCTGGGGAAGGAGAGCCAGTGGGGAGTGGGGCCCCCAGCGGGCAGGCCCCCAGGGTCACTGCCTCAGCACAGGGAAATCCCACCCATGCCTGCCAGGCCAAGGCCCTGCAGCAGGGGGCCCGCAGGATGTGGGACGCTGGGCCTGCCCGGGACAGTGGTTCTCAGCTAGGGCTGATTTTGTTCCTCTGGGGACGTTTGGCCTTGTCTGGAAACGGTTTGACAGAAAAATACGTGTGTATGTTAAGCACATACAGGCTAATGTATGTTACTGATTAATTTTACTGATAATTACTGATCAATTTTGCTGATACAAAGGAGGTTTAGGACACAGTGTACAAATACGAAATATATTGCTTTTCTTGTGAATTCCATCTATAGCTAATTGACTTTTCTCAGAATACTTTCACTGGTTTTTCCGAATGCTTGTATCCTCAGCCAACTGGCAGACGAGGATTGTTCTAACATAAATGTTGGTTGACAGTTTTGTTCATGTTAATGAGTAAAATGAGAAGACATACGTCAGAACTTTACTTGGTCAACATCACGAGTAACTTCTTGGCCGAATTGGATAATAGTTTTCTTTTGAGAATATTCTATTTAGAATATTTTCTCCAGGTCTGTGTTCTAGTTACAGTGTGATGGTCATAAATTTGGCACTTGGAAGTTTAATCTGCATTATTAGTGTTTTCTCATCCCTTGCTTAAGTCCAGACAATCAACAATACAATAAATCAAGCCCTGATCTGTAATGTTTACCAATTTCCATGGTGTAAATACTCCCACTATGGCTGATGTCCCTGAACAGCGAATTGGGAAGATACATGTGCTGCACAGAATTATAGAGCGTTTCCACCAGACAAGACACAGAAGACGTAAATAAACTCAAGAGCATAGGGGCGCCTGGCTGGCTCAGTTGGTGGAGCGCACGACTCTTGATCTCGGGGTCGTGAGTTCCAGCCCCACATTGGGTGTAGAGAATACTTAAAAATAAAATCTTTAAAAACAAAAAACAAAAAAAAACCTCAAGAGCATAGACAATAATAAAATACAGTGAAATAACTAGGAAGTGATGAATTTTGAGTATGACCTTTGTTTTCACTGTAGTTAATTGTAAGTTTATATAATTTAACTTTTTAAATGGCTGCGCTTAACAACCATCTCACACCTCCGGTCAGCACGCCATTGCCTGAAGTAGAAGAGACTGCTGGGATCCTAGGCTCTGGGCACGGGGGCCTTCTAGAAGAAGCTCCAGGGTTGGAGGTGGCTGTGTGGGGCGCCCAGGAAAGCACCAGTTTTGGGGTGGGGGCCCGGGCTGGGGCGGGAGGTGGAGGGCCAGTAGGTGTCTACAGTGGAGACCTCCGGCAGGCCAAGGAGTTGGGGTCTTCATTCCCCAGACCTGAGGGGATTTGGGGTCTGACAGTGACATCAGGAAAGTGGTGTTGGGATGCAGGGGGGCTTGGGAGGGGGCAAGAGTGGTGTCAGGACCTAGGAAGGGCTGGAGGAGCGAGGGCTGCAGGGAGCTGTGTGCAGGGAGGAGAGGTGAGGACTGGGTGACTGGGCCCAGGGAAGACGGGGCCCCCCAGGGGCCCTGAGGCTGGTCCGCTGTGCAAGGCCAGGGAGCCCCATGGGGTGAGTGGTGTGTGGAGCAGTCAGCTGAAGGGAGACCAGGGCCAGGGGGAGTTGGGACCTGGGTGGGGGAGGGGGGCTAGCTTTGGGGTCACCTGACATGGAGAGGGGAGCGGGGAGGGACCAGTGTCGTCCAAGGCTCCCTTGAGGCCAGAGGAAGGAGTGGGTGCGGCATCTTCAGGCTGGGTGAGGCCCCACAGCAGGGCCTGAGGCAGCTGGGACACCCTTCAGAGACCCCCACCAGAGGGCTTCAAAGTGTACTCAGCCCTTGGATGCTCCAGGGGCTGCCTTTCTGGGTGGTTCCATTCACAGCCATCGGTATCTGGTATCCGAGCAGCCTCATCTGTCTGTTTTACTGTTAGAACCTGCATTAGATTCCACTAAAGTGAAGTTTGAAAGCACTGCTCTGATTGCTCAGCTTACAGGTGGGGAAACTGAGGCATAGAGAGGAGGTGAGACCTTCGAGCTAGAGGCAGACCTGTGTCTGCAGTCCAGGTTTCCTGGTCCCCATGAGGCCACTGGGCACACGAAGGGCTGTTGGCGTTTCATCCTGTTAGGTCGGGATGGGCTGGGGTGCAAATGGAATTGGGGGGGTGGAGGTGAGAAGGGAATGATAAGGAAACAGAGCCGAAGACGGGTGGAGGAGGGGCCACAGAGGTGGTGAGCGCCAGAGAAGAGGAGCTGAGCCATCTGTGTCCCTCTCTGGCCCAGGAGGAGGTGGCTGGGGAGTCAGCGGACCCTAGAGAGGTGACAGCTGGGGAGGGATTCCCCAGCCTGGTATCTTAGTCCAGCTGGGAGCCCTTTCAGCCTGTGGGGCTTGCGACATAGGACAGCAGCTGGGGGCCACCATTGCCTCCTCTGGCCTCCCCCCAGCTTATTGCAGAGGGAGTAACAGGCATTTCTTGATCTGCTTTGGTCCATGTCAGAGGTGGCAGCTGGACACCTTGGGCCCTCCCGAAGATAGATCAGAGAAAGCAGCACTTGGCCTTGTAGGAGCCCCTCCTTCCTCATGGGCTGGTCCCTGCCTCTGGACCCCCTATTAGCTGCCAGGTCTGCCTACCTCATCTGGTCCTGTGAGGACAGCAGTAGTCCCCACACCCTATGTTGCTCCCATCTCTATAGGTTGGTCTTACGGGCCTGCTTTATAGAAAAGGGCACTGAGGCTCAGAGTGGGGAAGAGGCTTGTTCAAGTTCATTCTGGTACAGTGAGGATTAGGACCCGGTGTGTGGAATTCCAAAGCCATGTTCTATTTTTCTGACTGGAGGGACACCGAGGACAGATGCAGAGGGACAGACATTACCTGCCCCCCACTCAGAACACCTGGACCTGGGACTCAAAACATCTGGCCCCTCCCCCAGACTGGTCCTTGTAGCCCCCTGGTGCTGCTGCTGGAGAGGTAGGGGTCAGTCCCCCCCACACCGTGAGGTGCCCAATGGCATGGGGGATATACTCTTACCTGCTTCAATTTCCTCCAGGGCTCTTCCCTTTTCCTTTTTCATGATCTTAAATTTAATTACATAAAAAATATGTTTACATTTTCAAAAATAATTTAGTCTAATCAAAAGGTTAGAAATAAACACATGAGCTCTTCTTCCCCTGCCTGCTCTCCCCGCCCCAGGCGTCACCTTGATCACCCTTGGAGCACATCCCTAGAGGTTCCTGTTGCTGTTGGAACAAATCACCACAACTTTAGATAACATGGGTGTATCATCTCCTGGATTTGAAGGGGAGCAGCTTAACTGGGGTCTCGCTGGGCTCAAATCCTTTCCACGGGCTCCAGGTGGGACCTGTCTCCTCGCCTTCTCCAGCGGCTTATGGCCACCCGCATTCCTGGGCTCCTGGCCCCATCCTTCGTCTGCAAAGCCTGCAGTGGAAAGTCTGGTCCCTTCGCTTCCCACAGTGAATTATCACTGACCTTTTCTTTTTTTTAAGGTTTTATTTATTAATTTGACAGAGAGAGACACAACGAGAGAGGGAACACAAGCAGGGGGAGCGGGAGAGGGAGAAGCAGGCTTCCCGCGGAGCAGGGAGCCCGATGTGGGGCTCGATCCCAGGACCCTG